CTGTGACTCTTTTGTATAGAATAATTAGGTAGTTCCTTTGTACCATGCATAGACCACCAGTTGCACAGAATGCAATCAGATCTTCACAGGCCTTTATGAAGCCAAAAGCCATATTTGTAACTGTTGAGTGACAAGAAAAAGGATTTTCAGCAATGTCTGCAAGGCAAGAACAGAGAAAGTAACCTAAACAACTGATCTGGTAATCAAATATTCATCACAAAGGCAGGGGCAAGAAAGGCATTCACTTTGGGTCAGGGATCTAAACTGCACAGATGCAGCTAAGCCTATTACAGTGGGGTACTCAACTGTGGGTAGCGAACTGGATTCTGAAACATTTAAATTGGTCTTGAAAAATAAAATACCCTCTGTAGAAATCCCACAGGTTTTGGTGATGCAACCTTCCTGGGCTCAAAAAATATTTTGTGTGAGCAAGGAAAACAAGATTTCCCTCCCTTTACTGCCTTCAAATCCTTTACATATCCCCATGCTGAGCCATGAAACGTGTTGCTATAATGTATTTCATATGACAATCATATTCCATCATCAATTCCATCTTTGCATATGTCCTGAGGAAAGTGTTTTGGAGGGCTCCAAGAAACAACTTGCATTAAGAGAACATTAAAGGGTCAGTTCTGCCTCACTCAGTCATGCCAACGAGTGCCTTCCTCTATGACTGGTCCCCCCGATCTCCCTGCAAGAAACTACCCAGCCTGAGGCAGAACAGACTCTGCCTCAAAGCCTGTGTCATCCATGTGCAGCAAAACCCAATAAGGTCCATTTGAGGCTAGAAATCCCACCAAGCTAGCACAGTCAAAGCATATGGTTATCATCCTAACCAACTGTCAAGTCTACAGTCTAAGTGACCCCGTACTCATCCATCACACTCAGATGGTGAAGAAGATATCCGCATGAATCCTTTGAAAGACTCAGTCATCCATGACCTTAAATGTAGCTCAGCTGTCACTTGTGCAACCACACAATTCAAACCTTAAATGTACACGAGTGCTGCCTTTACTGATGAGAAATACCTTGCTTGACCAGTAGGCCTTGCAGATCTAGAGGCCAATAGTGCACACCTGGCATTGGTGAAGCTGCAGGAAAGGAGACCCAGAGAGATCAGCAGCGCTGAAGGCCGGAAGTTAACAAAGGTTGTTTTCATTCTTTTAATACCAGCTGAAAACCTGAGACAGAAATAAAATTTCATTCTCCTTCAGCCTCAGAGACAGAGGAACCATTCTTGATTAAACACTGTTATTAATAGTAGCAATTTTCCTTCAGGCAAAAAGCAAAATGTGACAAGTTTGAGCTTGCTTGCTCACAGTTTTTGAAAGGTCTGAGACACCAGAAACCCTGGTATTAACATAAAAAAAGTGTGTGCCATCTCACCACTAGTGCTTTCTTCCATTCCAACAAAAATATATGACCATGTCACCATGGGCTGGCATTAAATGGAGAAATTACTGGTACTCAGGGAAGGAACATCCTTTTACAAGGCTTTACATTACTTAATGGCAAATTTCCTGGCAAAACGAGATTGCATTGGGAATAGGAAATGCTCTTAGGGATGTTGCTCCTGGGGGCCACTGAATTCACACTGTTTTCAAGAAAGGTTCCTCATGGAACTGCACTGCAATGCCGAGTGACATTCAAATGACAAAAGCTGCTATCACCGAGAGCCTGAAGCATGTATGTCCCTACTCTTGACCTTTCTTTCACTGCTTTTACTTACTTTGTTTTCTGCTAATACAATGCACATGTGCAAAAAAAAAGCACCCTGATGATCAGATGTCTTTTGCCATTACCTCATTACAGGTACACTGGTAACTCTGCAAGTTTATTTAACCATGTCTTGATACTACCTTGCCTGAGCACTGTTGATCCTTGTTGGCTGCACTCAATTGCAGGAGACATCTGGCACCATTAGTTTTGAATTTGTGGTTTGGGAGTTCACCTACAAACACAATTCTCATTGCCACAGGAATCGGTCCATGATGTCGTATCACCTCTTTTGTCACGTGGACAAAACGTAACTGACTTATACAGTAGATGGAATTTCTTAACGTAAAAACTCCAGGTGGGACCTTTAGCAGCTGCCTGCCCCTGCTCTCCCTTCCTGTTGCATGGCAGAGGCAGTGCTGGGTTCCCTCAAGTCGTGTTGAGGGGTGGTGGGAGGCCCTTCCCCACATTTACTCGCCAGCAAAACACATGTTCTCAATAATGTCCCCCTGACTTTGCTGAGGAAAACTTGCTGTTGACAACATAGAATAATAGAGTAGTTTGGGTTGAAAGGGACCTTTAAAGGTCATATAGTTCAAGCCCCCTGCAATGAGCAGGGACATCTTCAACTAGATCAGGTTGCTCAGAGCCCCATCCAGCCTGACCTTGAATGTTTCCAGGGATGGGGCATCCTCTCTGGGCAACCTGTTCCAGTGTTTCACCACACTCATCATAAAAAATTTCTCCTTATATCTCGTCTAAATCTACCCTCTTTTAGTTTAAAACCATAACCCCTTGTCCTGTTGCAACAGGCCCTACTAGAAAGTTTGTCCCTATCATTCTTATAAGCCTCCTTTAGGTACTGAAAGGCCGCAGTCAGGTCTCCCCGCAGCCTTCTCTTCTCCAGGCTGAACGACCCCAACTCTCTCAGCCTGTCTTCATAGGAGAGGTGTTCCATCCCTTGGATCATTTTTGTGGCCCTCCTCTGTGCCTGCTCCAACAGGTCCATGTTTTCCCTGTCCTGAGGATGCCAGAGCTGGATGCAATACTCTAGGTGGGGGTCTCACCAGAGAGGAGTGGAGGGGCAGAATCACCTCCCTTGACCTGCTGGCCACGCTTCTTTTGATGCAGCCCAGGATACAGTTGGCCTTCTGGGCTGAGAGCACACATTGCCAGGTCATGTCCAGAGCAAGTTGGATGTGCCTTGTGTGAAGAGGATTTCAGTCTCCTTTCCCCAGTGTAAATGGCTAGTGGGAGCTAATGACTCATGGGACAGAGAGAGGCAAGCACTGCACACACAGCTCTTGGACTCCTTTGGCTGTGGGTATGGAGCACGCTGAGCCCCGTCCTTGCCTCTCACAAACAGCTGCCAGCTTCTTCATGAAGTGACAGACACGCAGAGATTACTGTGGTCCTTCTGGGCTTATACTGCTTAGACAAATCCCCATTCTTTGGCTTTGCAGACAATAAGCCCTAGCACATTACATGGCGAATGTCTGAACAACCAGAATTCTGTACCTTTCTCTGCTTAGAAGAGATTTACCATGTTCTGTGCTTACAGGCTGTCCTTTCTTTGTTGTATCTATTGAGCCTTAGGTTGCAAACTTTTCAAGGTAAAGGACCTGTTCGTTGTTTGCTAAAATTCACAACTGCATAGACTATCAGCACTGTGTAGTCATATTCCTTCTGGGCTTTATACTTGGAAACATTATTTTGTGTAGAAATTAGTCTAAGATAGCTATTTTGTCTTTACTTCCCCTGTGGACATCTATTCCAGACTTAAGCTGCTTTTTTGAGATTTCAGCCAACTTTTGGATTAAATTCTGAATTTCTGTTTCAGTAGATTTCTAAGTGTACACAGTCCTCCAGTTATACCAGCTTGGATGCTGGGGAATTTTCAAACACTCTCTTCTCTCTTGAAAACATTGCATTGCCTCAGTCTTCACTTCAGAATATTATCTCAAATATTTTTTGATGATTTTGAAATCTTTCAAGAATTTCACTTAAATATTTGACAGACATCTCCTGCTACATTTTATTCCCACAGGATAAAATAATTAATTAAGCCTGAAGACTTAAGGATAGAACAGCAGTAAAATGAAGTGTGAACTACTTGCTTAAGCCTCAGAGCCCCATATGCCTTTCCTAATGAGTCTGTTTGTCCTGAAAAGAGAAAGATGAGTTCTTAAAAAGAACAGCAAAAATACTAGGCCCACAGAGGATGTATGAAGTGTTTTGACAGAGTAACTTGAGTGCAGCACCACATCATTAAACTCAGCAAAATAGTGAAGGAAAGGTTTGCTACACTTCATAGCCTGGAGTGAGGTCACCAACTAAACTGACTTCATGACAACAAAAGATCCTAGACTGATGAGAAAGTGTCCTCTGATAAAGGTCAGCATTCCTCTGCTTAAACGGGTCTTTCAGGCTTGTGGAGGAGGAAATGTGTTAGCCTGACTTGCTTGGACATATCACACAATAGCATGTGACCGTCAGCACTGTGAAACCTTTTGTGGGTTATAATATGATTAACTGACCATTCAAATTCTAGAAATGTTGCATTTGTAGCAGAAGTCAGCTCCTCAGAGAGGAGGCAGCAGAGTGTGAAACCTGAATTCAAGTGGTTGAAAGAATAATTAAAATTAGAAATAACTTGGAGCTGCTAGCAGTTATATTCAAGGTCTGCAATATAGCAATAATATCTGTATTTATGTAGATGTGTGTGCCTGCACGTGTGTGTAATGACAATGACATAGTTTCCAAACAGAAAGAGAAAGACAGTTGCCAAAAATCTTCACCAGCTATTACAATTTTCCAGAGTGAACTGTTTTAAAATATTCTCTAAGGGCTTCTGGTCATAAATATTTCTGAAGAGTATGCACTCAACTCATGCCAATCAATACCATAAAGCAACACTGCAGCTAAGCTAGCAAAGTAGAGAACTCCTACTTATTGACTAAGCCCTGACAATTCTTGTATCTAAGGCTCCAGTTCTGGCAGCTTATATGGTAATAGTATTCCTAGTTTCAGAAGGTGTGCATCCTAATGTTATATTTTGATATAGAAGATTAAATATTCTCTAGCATATTTGCCTATCGAGGAAACGCTTTTACCTTGGGGAAAAAAACATCCTCCTATGAATTTCCTTTAACTTTACAGGAGACTGCCATTCTCAGAACACGGATCTCTCTCGGACATTTCAAAAGACTACACACAGGACCTACTTTCTTCTCAAGGGACCTAAGAGACTGTGTTTTGACTTTTAAGTCAGCCCTAGTATACGGATGTGGACTTCAGTTAGAATGAGCAATGCAAAGAACTTGCTTGGACTTGGCGTCTCCTTGTATTTTTGGGGACTGATGGACCTTACTACAACTGTCCTGTCAGGAAGTGCCAGGCCCCTCACTGAAGGGCAAGAAGACAACATGTCAGACAAGCTGCATCAGCGCATGAAGCGGAGCTGGGTGTGGAACCAGTTCTTCGTTCTGGAGGAGTACACAGGAACTGACCCTCTCTACGTTGGGAAGGTAAGACCCACACCAAGAGGGTATCTGGCAGAGTGTATACATCTGTATATCTGTGGATTGTGGTGAAACATGCAAAGTTTCTTTCTTTCTGGTAGTGAATTTATCCACATTAATTTCATTTCTGCTCCCAAGAACTTTTGACCAGTGTCACTTTTGTTTGGGAAGAATTTCTGTTTCAAGGGGCTGTCACTGTATTTGCCTATTTCAAAGAGATCTGCTGTACCAATCGTCATCTGTAATTGAGGTAGTGTTAGAAAATCTGCAGTGATCTTTCCAGGGACTCTACAATGTCAAGGCAGAGCAAGGTTATATTGACATATGAGGATTAGGAAAGAAAGGAAGAGTTTGTGATCATGCTTCTGTCTGTGATCAAGTCAGCTGGAAGCTGAAATTTACAATCAAATTAAATAGCCAGTTTCTCTTGAAAACTGACATTTCAATTTTTGTTTTCTGCAAATCTCTAGGGTCAGAGTATCTTCCTGCTTACCACAGCTTGACCGCAGGTTAATTCTGTGGACTACAGAGAGGTTGCTCCAGATCTAGAAGGGTAGAGGGGCAGCTCATTAAATCCAACCTATTTTTGGATCCCAATACCCCAGGAACCTACACATGAATACGGATAAGTGTAAAATGGATCCCTAAGTTCACCCCATCTACTTGGTAGTATTTTGCATTTACTTTTCTGTAGCTTCTTGAGGAACAAGCTGATGGAAATCAGACCAGGGATGTCTGCCATCACAATCTGCCTTACTATAACCACACTCCTTTTCCTGTTTTCTGGCTGTTTTTAAAGACTCTGAATTGTTGAAAGCATTGACCCCGTTATTCAAATGGTTATGGTCTGCACCAAGTTTGCTTCTAGTCTACACCAAGGTGACACATGTGGAAAAAGTGGAGAAGGGAAGAGTTAGTGTGCTTAAGCATTTGAACAATACTATTAAGATTTTACATGCCTAGAATATCAGATACCTCTATGATGAGTGCAGACTACATATAGGTAGATATGAATAATTAAGAACTAGGAAAGGATGTCAGAAAACAATTCCTTCAGATTTCATTACTTATTTTTACATGATCAAGGCTCCTTCTTTCCTTCCAAGCTATCCAACTGCAGAAAGAAAAAAAAAAAAAGAATCACGTATCTAGAGGCCCATTTCTGACTTGTATTTATCATTCTAGAACCCCATAGAGCTAAACTGTGCCTTCAGTCACACCAGTATAAATCAAAATTAATCCACAGGCTTCAAAAGGCCTCCTCCTGATTTATTCCTGTGTGACTGACAGCAAGATGTGCTCTCCTTCCTCCCACAGCAATGGCATTACTAGTGATTGCAGCCAAATGAGACCTCATTAGTCTTCATTCATCCCTGTACCTAGCTTTTCAGCTCTTGATATCTCTATTGATTAAAGAAATTAATATTTGGTTTTGTGCAATTCCCAGCTTTGGAACAGGGGCCAGACATATTATTTCACATACTCGGTTGCGTCTGAAGCTACTGCAGACTTGCTTTGTGAGCTGAATTTCAGCTAAAACGAGTACTGGAAGAAACCGACTCATCTTTGTTTTAGACTTGATTGTATCCTTAGGAGCACAGAAATTTGGCACGGTCAGCAGTGCTCTTGAGCTTGCTGCCGCTCAGCTCCGCTGAACGGGGGAAAGCAGAGGCGACTCTTCATGGTCTATGTCCACCACACGCAGACCCAAGCTGCCGTGGATAAGCTCTGCCCAGGGCCGCCTATGCCACGGCTGCATTAGCACAGGGCTGCACAAGGGCTAATTAGCTCCCACGGTTATCAGGGCCAATTAGCCCCACGCACTGCTGAGCTGACATGGCTGGATCGCTCTGAAGGCCTCCTAGGTCTGCACTGGTCCGTGGAGACTAGACACCAGGGAACTCTGCTGCCGAAATGGGCCTCTGGGGGTCAAGCATTTCATCTTCTCCCGTCCCTGAACTGGGTGCCGAGCAGCCAGCCAAGCAGTGGGATGAATGCAGTGGGGGCTGCCATGAGGGAAAGGCTCCCCCTCGCCTCCTACAGCCAAAGGCACAGGCTCTCAGAAGAAGCTGCAGCCCACCACAACTCGTCGCCCTGCCTGCATTTGTGCTGCCTGTGTCTTAGGTATCCTTAGGAAAAGGCTCAGCAGACTGTGGGCTGAATTAATTGTTCTGGCAGGCCAGAAATTTTTCAGCCCGAGGCACCCCAGGCTGACTCAGAAATAGCTCTGGAAGGGCTTGTGCAGAGCGGGGCGGAGGTGCAGGGCTCACAGCCGGCTGCTGGCGCTAGCACCAGCCCTCCAAACAGCCCTGGGTCCCGCGCCTGGCCCGGCAGAGCTTCTTCTAACTGATACCACCCACAACTCCCCAAAACTAGCCAGGCCTCGCTTTTATCCATCTGCGCTCTCCAAGCCTGCAGCAGGAGGAGAAAGAGTGCACAGCATAGATCCAGCTGTGTTTACTTTATACTCTAAAGGCTTCCCATAAGATAAGGGCTTTTCTGATGCTCTTATACAGCTGTTTCTGGCTATCTATGTATGACTGGGGCAACACAAAAAACACCTTGACTTGAACCATGGGTCTATGCTTGCCTAATATGATTTTCAAGGCTGCTATGAAAAATGTACTTTACTACATAACTGTAAGGCAAGGGGCAAAGTATCTTCTGGACAGAGAAATGAAAATAATCTTCCTCAGGTAAAGTCAGTACAATTTTTGCTTTTCTCCAGTGCTCATGATTCTAATCTAAAGTATTTTAGCTTCAGAGGGTTCCTGGTCCTGTCACAGGTAAATGCGAGGCCTCAGCTTTCCTGGAGGTAGCCATGATTGGATAATAGGATTGGATAATAGGATGAACTAGGGAAACCAAAGCCCCCGCATTTGCTGGCGCAGGTATTTTCCACATTCATCCAGCAGCCTAAACTGCATCAGTAATTGAACTGGGGACAGACTTCACCGCTTTGCTGTGTCAGAGACTCCCTACCCCTGTTTTGAAGGAGAGAGGCATTTGAACCACAGCAGCTGAATGAGTGAATAAAATGCATCCTTTCTACAGACTATCATTGCAGATCAACCAAACTCACTCACGCATCCTCACAAAAATCCCCTGCAGGTGCTGCCTCCCTGGAGGTAGAGAAAGGAGAGCACGTCAAGGATGGAGTCACAGCACGGTTAGCAGAGCTGTGCAAGTCCTTCCCTGAGATGCCCCTCTCTTCCACGTGCTTTTTGCCAGAAATGCGCCGTTCAGATGCAGATATAGCCTCCTTAATCTTTTGTACTATCCTCGTCGAAAGAAGCAACCCAGGTTGACACAGTTAACAATTTGGCGGGAGTTATCGGCTTCATTCCTCCCATAGCCCATTCTTTAATAGGGAGGAGAAAGTAGAAATGAATTCTTCCTACTTCTGTGTCAGCCACATGGCAGCACAGTTTATTGCACCACCCGTAAAACAGAGCCAATGGCAATCTGGATCACCTTCCCAACACAGTGGTTTCTACACACACCCCAAACTGCAGCATCCCGATAGTGGGTTTGCCATTGCAATGGTGTGAGCTTCAGTCCCTTCAGACACCAAATTCTTTCAGATTTATTGCAGTCTGAAAGTATTAAGTCTTTTTTATGCTTTTTTTTTTTCAGAAAAAGCAGGTTATATGAGAAGTGGCAAAAGTGCTGCTAGCATTTCTTGCTGCCTAGCCTTGGTTGAGAACCAATGCATTTAACAAATTGCAGACAGAGATCCTCTTGTACTCCCAAATTCTTATTAGTGTGCCATGTTCATTCCTTCTTTGCTCCCTACACAACTGCATTCATTCCAAATAGGGCTTCAGACAGAAGGTGTAATTTAACCCATGAGTCTCATTCAGTATCTTCTTCTAAGTATTTTGAACTTTCCAGAACACCTTCTGCTATTCTAAAAGATGCTTTCTTCTTTCCTTTTTTCTTTTTTCTTCTTTTTCTCCCGACCATCCCCCCGCCTCAAAACTTTACAAAACCCTCTCCTTTTCCTTTTGCTTTTCTTTTTTATTTTCATTTTTCTTTTTTCTTTTTCCTTTTCTTTTTCATGTTCAATTTCCTTTGCCTTTTTCTTTTTTATTTTTTCCTTTGCCTTTTCTATGACTTTGAATTTGACTTTGACTTCTTTCTTTTTCTTTCCTTTTTCCTATTTAATGAGGACTTGTTGATGTTCCAAAACACATTTTCTTCCATCAGGCCCAGCTCTAATTCCCCAAACAGGTCTAACATCTGTATCTGTCTCAGCAGCTGCATTCCCTCATTGACGCACTGATGCACTAAAACAAATGCCCAAGATGTAGCTTAGTGGTTCCGAACCAATTTGAAAAGCTATAATAGTGTCCTCCTTCTGGAAGCATCCTGTTTACTAGCTCCTACAGTGATAATCTCTGAGTTATGGGTGTTTAGGGTAAATAATGACAACCACTGTCTTTTTTTAAATTAATCACAAGATGGTGTTTCCTGAAGATATGCCAGTTTGCAGTCCCGGCGCCTGCATGTGAATTAATACATGTGGCAGTCATCTAAATTTAACCGTTAGCCACTGCCAAATTTTTCTGGGCTTGTTCTTCCTCCATTTAGCTGATACATCACCTGAGAGCTGCCAGCATTCCTCTGATGGACTGGTGTCTCTCAGATGCCGTAGCCACCGTTGCACCTGGAGCTGTTGCAGCCACTTTGCAGCCCCCCTGCGGCAGAGGGATACCTGCCATTAACACTCATTGTCCCGGCAGCCATTAAGAGTCAACAGGCCGCCTATGTACAGACCTGTCTGCAGGGCGGGATGTGCCATGGAAAACCGTATAGATCCCACCTCAGCTGAAATCAGCCTTACCCTAAAATCAGGAGTAGGCCCCAGTTTTGTGTAGGTCGTGTGCTGCACTCTGAGAGGCTAGTAAGGAAAACAGCCTCCAGAGAACGAGTGTCCTCCAGCCAGACCCTTCGCTGGCGGAAATGGTCTTTCAGCTCCCAAGTCAATGGGACCACGTGCCCTAGAACAGCTGAAGAGCTGGTCCACTGGCATTAGAAATGTTTAGGTCAGGTAAGTCAATTTGTCCATATCCCTGTAAAACTTTTTCCTATGTGATAAGTTATTGTACAGTTTTCAGTGTGTTTTTAAATAGGTCAGAGATGAGATTTCTTCCTTTCTTTCTTGGAAGAATAGCTTGTAAACAAATGAATCAGGTTTGACTTCTGCTTTTCCACACAAATTATCCATTTCTATTTGGATTCTTTCTTCAGATCCTATAGATCCTACCAATCCTGTGTTCAGCTATTCAGTCTACTATTCCTAGATTTTTCTCTCCAGTCCAAATATTTACTTATGTTTGGCCCCATCCTCCACAATTATTCCCACATGTCCTTTGAGCTCACCACAGCGTTAAACACACCTTTAATTCTGACCATATTTCTTGAGATAATTAGCTCATACTTGCATTTTAAAATGTGCTTAGCTGAATCCAGCCCTCTTTGACCACTTTTTTTTATTATTATTAATCTATTCTTTATTCATCTCTCAACACAATAATCACACTGGAGAGCGGTATTCACACCTGAGCCATTCTTGAAAATCCCATTTTGATTATTGTGCTCAGGTCTATTGCCTTCCTGTCATTTGGGACTGAACCAATATCATCTCTGGGCATTGGTCTGTATGCTCTATTCCTCAAAAGCATGGAAGTATGAGCATACTGTTAAGCATCTTCATAGTGTGAGTGAAATTAATTGATTTGTTTGTCTTTTGATAGTCATTCCAGTATTTCATGGGAACCAGGTGTTTAACAGAATGGTAGTCCCCTGGATGATTTTTCTCTGTTTTAGATGATAATTAGCACTGCATTTACTTTTCTTCTGTTCTGTTGCATTCACAGCTATCTGTGGCTGCTCAGAACTAATTAGCAGTCATGCAATAAATCCGTTCGCTAATTCCCTAGAAAATCTGGGATGCCTCTCATCTCTATAGCCTGCCATGGACATAATCAAGTGTTCCTCGCTGCTTACCTTACCTACTGTTCAACAATAATTCTTTCCTGAAGATGTAAGGATCCAGCCTAATTTTTATTGCTCAAATTTTCATGGAAAAAAAATGTAAAGGATTTCTGAATCATGACAGTTACTGAGCAGCTCCCCGTCCTGCTTTCCCCTTGATCCCAAACAGATTTGCCGTACCTGCCCCAATGTTATGCTACCCTTGGAATATCTGACTTCTCTTAAACCACGTGAGCAAGCACAGTCTGCAGCTTTGCTGACCTCACCTTATGCCAAGCCTGGCAGCGAGTCCTTCTCAATGGCCATTGCAACCAGGCAAAAGATAGTTTTGTGTTGAGTGGGATTTCAAAAAGGTACAGACCCTGTTCCTGCTTGGGTGTCTCTGCCTTTTCTTCTGGCACAGCTGTGGGCACAGAAATGGGAAGACAGGAGAGGGTTTTTAATTGCAACTCCGTGATACAGACTTTACTGAGTATTCCCCTCTTCCAGCAAGACAAGTTCATTAAAACCAGCTTGTGAGTCCCAACAGTGAGACCAAGATGCTCAGGATGCTAATGTGCTTAGTGTTTCTCAGCAGCTCGAGGTCTAATTGAATCCTCTTCCTTTCTGCAGCTCCACTCTGACATGGACAGGGGCGATGGTTCCATCAAATACATCCTCTCGGGAGAGGGAGCTGGCATTGTGTTTACAATTGATGATACCACAGGGGACATTCATGCCATCCAGCGGCTGGACAGGGAAGAGAGGTCGCAGTACACCTTGAGGGCGCAAGCACTGGACAGGCGAACAGGCCGACCGATGGAACCGGAGTCGGAATTCATCATCAAAATCCAAGACATCAATGACAATGAACCCAAGTTCCTGGATGGACCTTATGTAGCCTCTGTCCCAGAAATGTCACCTGTGGGTAAGGCATATTTTGTGGAGTCTCTTCTCCCTCTCAGCAAGTTGGGGATGGTCAATAACATAAATTCCCTGACTCCTTGGACTCAGCTTTTGCCTCTTGCGCAGGAGCTGCAGGGCAGGAGAGCTTCCCCCGGGGTGCCTGACTGCCGCAGAAGGGGGATAGCAGGCTTTACACCACCGTCAGCTGGGCCCTCTGAAAGAAAACATGCCAAGGGAAGCAGGGAAGCTGAAAAAAGGCGTAATTTGAACGTGGTATCCTCAGACAGCTCGCAGTAACATAGTGCCCCTTCTCCCCTGCCATCAGATGGTAGCGACAGTGATGACTATTAGAGATCCGTTACCATCCAGAAAATAATACAAATTTTAGGACCCCGTTCTAGTTCGCACTGAGAGCTAAAATACTGCCCAGGAGCCCTTGAAATCAGGGAGACGTGACAACAGTTACTAGCAGCTTGGCTCCTTCTAATCTGTGTAAGCCTGCACTAAACAGAGTTCAGTGGATCCCAAAGTTCTGGTACCATTTTCTCTCCTCTTTGAGAGAGTGGGATCATGTCAAAGGTAGTCTTGTTATTGCAATGCAGTCAGAAGACAAACCACAGCCTTCCCACTTACACGAGTCAGGAGAAACCGTTTCCATGTAACAAATCCAATAGTCACACAAAACACTGTTTTTCTGGCCTTTTTTTTTTTCTTTTGGAGATTCTCATTGTTTTTTGGCTCTGTGACGTCATTACAGAGCTAATAACATATAAATCACACATCCTGAAGTTACAGATATGCTTCAGCTTCTCATTCTTCAATATTATGTTGACATAAAGCTAGAGACAAGCCTCAAATACAAGAACTCCATCCAGAAATAATGTTTCTTAATGGTAATGGCTCACTTGAACTCAGATTTATTTTCCAGTGCGTATCTAGTAACACTGGATTTGTTTCTAACACAAAACATTATGTAGAAGGCTAGATACATTCATAAAGACATTGTCTGACATTTTAAGGAGTCAAAACTCACATACATTCAAACAGTTATGCCTTGTTCTTGATAAATTACATGACCTGCAAGCCATTCTTAGCTTCAGAGGAAGCAGACCTTGAAAACCAATTGAAGAAAAGAAATATATATGCGTCTGTGTGGGTTCCGAAAGGCACTTCAGCAGGGCATAATCTCTAGGCCATGCAATGTAAACTGCATTCCCACAGAGAGATTATCTCAGAGATACATCCCTTCACGCTCACTCTGGGTGTACAGTCTCCATCCCTTAGTCAACATACAGCATCCATGGGCCCACTGCAGCAGTTCGTGATTTATGTCAGCATAGCTATGGATCTTAATTGAGCTGCCTTTAAATAACATTTATAGTCAAGAAAAGGGGAAAAGAAGCAAGCAGTATGTAACTACCAGCTCTCTGCAAACCACAACGAAGTACTGTTAGATCAGCAATTCTGTGACTGTGGTCCATAGAGTGCTTGCTCTTTTATATCTCCTTACAGACGCGTGATGAATTTATGCCTATTAATTCCTTCAGCGCTAATGAGATACAAGTATGAGCAATAAGTACAAGCAATATGAGCATCAAAAGAAGAAGTTCAGGGCAGTAAAGCTCTTGTTAGACATTTCAATTTATTTTGAACTGTGTACTTTTCATGCCAGCTCTTTATCCCACAAGGTCTTACCTGATGGGTTTTTTTGTCAGGCACCTCTGTTATCCAGGTGACGGCGACAGATGCTGATGACCCAACCTATGGGAACAGCGCAAGAGTAGTGTACAGTATTCTCCAAGGACAACCATATTTCTCTGTGGACTCTCGGACAGGTATGTTATTTCATCAGGGAACAAGGCAGTGTGAAAAGCAAAAGAAAAAGGTTCAAGCAGAAAGAAGAGGCAGTGCATGCTGTGGTCAGAGGAATGTATTTCTATGGCTTGGAGCCAAGATAGCCCAGCACTGCGTGAGGGTTAAAGCAAGGCTGTGGTAATGAGCTCCAGAAGAAGGACATGCTTTCTGCAGTGATGTATTCATCTGAATGACCATACCCTGCAGCTCGGGAGCTGGGTGGGTTTGGTGCAGTAAATATTCTTGTTGGCTTCCATCACTGCAAGAGTGTCTTCAGCAGATGTAGTTAGTAACAAGGCTTGGTGGAAAAAAGCAAGCACTGGAAAGTGCAGGCTAAAGGATACAGTTATCTGGAGTAGTTTTACCTAAGGGTGTTCTTGTTAATAACCTGAAATTTATCTATAGGACACTCTCTCTGTTTTGCTTGCTTTCTCTCTCTCTTTTTCTGTGTATACCCGAGGTTTATATCCAAAAGAGGAATCTGACAGGTTTTGACAGTTTCTAAAGGGCATCGGTAGTGCTAAGGTCAGAAACTCATGAGATGATAGTCACTGAGGAGCCCCAGGGGACAAAATAGAAAAAAAACACTGCATAATCCACTTCTGAAAGTTAGCAGTTTGTGGAGTCGGTGCTGTAGCCAAAGACAAACTTGTGTGTGGCATGTTATTTCCTCAACTCTTTACAAGATAAATGAAACAGTAATGTTAATTTTGTAATCAAGTTATCAACCACAGGCAAATAAGGGTGTAATCATAGATTTGCTGACTAGTGAATGTTTTCTAAGAAAGCAAAGCAGCAATATTCAGGGTCAGACCCAGTACAGATTTAACCGTTAGACTCAGACAGAATGTAGGCCCTTAAGTCCAAAATCATGTACTTGATTGGTATTTAACCCAGGCAAGGTCTTTTTCTCCACTTCTTAATTTCCCCGTCACTTAGTTGCATCCAGAGCTGCCTCAGCCTTTCCAAGTGGGCAACAGGGCACCCATTTAGGCTAAGAGCAGTTGTGAGCCAGAAACCATTTCCCCATCGCAGGCTCAGGACTTTAACCAGCTTCCCCAGTGCAAACCTACCTGCAGGGTTTGGTAACCCACAAAATGGGATTGCAGCTCCCACGTTCCTCTACAACAGAGCTGGAGCATAAACGATCACCAGCTCCTTTATACCGACGGGTAGTGATTAAAGCACCCAATAGCGGGCAACCTGTTTCAATACACCCCTCCGCTAGAAGTATTTGGGGTCCTTACCCTTTCACCTTCTGACACAACCTCTTGGTTCCAGAAGCGTGCGCCTGTTCCTGTTCTGTCACTGGCCTCACAGGCATTGAACGAATGTATATGTGAAGGCACAACTTCAAAGGGAAGCTGAGAGCCTCCTCCTCCCCTTTTCCAGACCACTTTTACAGCCTGTCCATGGACATATTCCCCTAGAAGGTAAAAAAAAATAATAATGTGGATTTAAATCCCCTCAGACAGAGTAGGCAAAGGCCCCTGGGCCTCCCACTTCCCAAGAAACTATCTGGCTGTTACAGAGAAGAAAGGACATCACCTCTGCCGTACTGGGACCAGTACTGTTTAACGTTTTCATCAATGACTTAGACAGTGAGATCGAGTGCACCCTCAGCAAGTTTGTGGATGACACCAAACTGAGTGGTGCGGTTGACGCATCAGAAGGGCAGGATGTCATCCAGAGAGACCTGGACAGGCTGGAGAGGTGGGCCTGTGTGAACCTCATGAGGTTCAACCAGGCCAAGTGCAAGGTCCTGCACCTGGGTTGGGGTAACCCCCAGTATCAATACAGGCTGGGGGAAGAAAGGATCGAGAGCAGCCCTGCCAAGAGGGACTTGGGGGTGCTGGTGGATGAAAAGCTGGACATGAGCCAGCAATGTGCGCTGGCAGCCCAGAAGGCCAACCGT